CAGCTACAGCTACTCTTACTTCCCACTGCTGCTTCTGCTGCTACTACTACTACCACTACTACCACTACTACTACTACTACTACTACTACTACTACTACTACTACTACTACTACTCCTACTGCTACTGCTACTACGACTACTACTAATTACTGGTGTGGCGACTACTCCTACCAACACCACGACCACGACCACCGCCGCCGCCACCACCACCACCCAACACCACCACCACCACCACTGCCACTACGACAACCACGACTACTACATACACCTTCATCTTATTTTCGCTACCACCACCGTGACAAACTACGACTATGACGATTGAGACTGCTGCAGACATGGCAACGACGCGACCACGACGACGACAATCCCCGCCACTCCCGGCACCTCGACGTTTCTCGCAAGAAAGACCAGACTTTCTGCCTCAAGGTTTAGGGCTCGGATTGGTTGGCGACAGGCCAAGTCGCTGGATCTGCTGACTCCGCAATTCCGCTGTCTGACCTCGTGAGATCTGGCATCAAAGAAAACTGTACTTGGAGTTCCGGCACCCACGAGGGACTCTGCTCTGCTGGCGGCTTCTCGTTAACACACGCCAACACGAACTCAACACTCTGCCCTTGCGATTCCTATACATAATGCCGAGTCCGCCGAAGATGCTGTGAAGTTACAAACTTTGATATAGCGGCACACGGAAGTCACTGAGCCATTGAAAACTTCAACGGCCCGTGAGCTGCCAACCCTCAAACTCTCAGTCTGCGGGTATGGGACGGTCCAATTCCTCGATCTGGTGCAAGGTCTCTGCCATTTGGCCTTAGTTGGGCGCTCTGCTCGTCGGGGCCCGTATCTCGCATGATCCTATGCCAGAGGCCTAGAGGGGCCCTGGCAGTGCTTCAAAACTCGTTCATTCGCTCCTCCTGGTTGCAACAGCTTGTTTTGGCTTGAGCCCCAAGAGCACCCTCAACTGCCGAATCACAAAGAAGAACGAGGTGAGCTTAGTCGCTTCCATCCTCGCCGGCGCGGACTTCCTTCCACAAGAAGGCCGACAACTCAATGCGGCTACATGCGGCAAGCCGTGAAAGGGTGAGTTTGGCCGCGGGGCTTGAAAGTGCTTCAGCCTTCCCGCAGTGGTTCAGGAAGGCATGCTACAGCTTACATGCCTTTGGACTAAGGGCCTCGTTGGCTTTGGAACCCCCCGATGAGTCCAGCTCTTTCAATCCCAGACACATTCTGAACACTGCACAGAAACATGCGCCGAGTTGCTGCGATGAAGTTCGCACTGTCGGAGATCAGCTTAGATCTGGACGAGTCCAGCTCATCCACCTTCAGGCTGGGCTATAGGAGTTGGGATTCCACAGTCTCTCTCTCTCTCTGCCGTGCCATCGCGGTCTGGGGCTCATTGACTCAATGAATGTGTGGAGGGTTCGAGCACCTCTCTGATTCGGTAAGGTCACGTGTGCTTCGTTCTCCGCTGGCGGCCCTTCCTGCGGATTCGTCCACGAAAACTGCAACATATCCCCTGCACCTGCAATTCAAGTAAAAACTTCCAGTGGCCGTCGCTAGGGGCATCAAAGCTGCAGTGAGCAAAACAGCTGGAAAGGTCTTGCTGAGGCTTGCTGCGTCTGTCGTTGAAGAAATGGTGGGTCCAGGACGCTAAGATGTAAGGCACCAGTGCCCTTCAAGCTCTTACCGTTTCAGGGAGGTTCAGGGTTTGGGTATCGAAATTTACACTTCCACACTCCGGACTTGCCAAAATGAGGTCTGCGGTGAGCAGGTCGCGAAGCCTTCTTTGAACCCAGGGCATCCCCACAACAAGCAGCAGTTTGCGAATGGCTACAAGGAGCACATTGATTTGGCAGAGTGTTTGACTTCGAAACATCGCCTCGGCCAATGACTCATTACACACCCTCTTGACTCTCTTGGGTTTCGGGCTAGGAATTGTATCTGCGAAGCCCGTCCTTGGCAATCACGGTGTCGTTTTCGGAACGCAACCGATCCACTTCCTCGGTAATCTTCTCATACCTCAGCGATTTCTCCGGTGCCTCTTTGCTGCCGTGGTTTCGGCGCTCACACGCTTCTGTGGTGTGGGGTTGGGGGTCGGGAGCTTCGGGCTTGGTAGGCTTTGAGGGGTTTAAGCGGCATCGTGGGCCGGGTTGCTGTAATCTGAGCCTGGGCTGGTAATTAAGCCAGATACGGTACTGCTTTCAGAAGCGAAGCGACGACAGGCTTGCACCCGGCCGTCAGAACCGGACATCCCTGAACTGCACAACTTCGCATCACTGGGGGCCCGTTGCTACAATCGCACTGCCGAAGTCAGTGCCCAGATGCAGAGTGCCATTTTGATGAATTGGCCGGCCACTGGCCACGGCGGCCTCCACTTGGGCCACTAGAACCTCCAGCTGATTCAGTTCAACACGTGAAGATACTAATGGTGCAAAGTGACGATACCTTCTACCTCGAGTTCATGGAAACTATAGATACGAATCATGCACTCCGCTGACTGGGTTTGTGGCGGATATTTGCAGTACTGGCTTTACTCGGACTGCGGCTCAGGGCTTGCCGGAGTCAACTCTGGGGCACTGTGTCCTGGAGACGATACAGTTAACGTGATCCCAGCACAATGAAAAGAAAAAGATGCAAGTGGGCGGACACACTACTGGGCAGATACTGCTGGGGCCTCCGATATGAGGAACAGTCAACAACAGGAGGCTGGATCGTTCAACTTTCAAGGCAGCCATCATACGAGGACCTGCACATCTGAACCCTCATTGCAACCGTTCCTGTGGCAAATCCGGCCCAAACCCCAAAACACCGAGCCTGAGCGGCACTGCCAAAGGCCCGAGGGTGAGCCGCAAGCTGCACGCCGACAAGGCGCGGGAGCTGAGCGCCTCGAGGCACTTCGGGCTTCGGAGATTTGAAGGCTTATGTAGGGACTCGTGGCAGCGGGTACGGTACAAGGGAATAGAAGGGAAGGGCAGGGCAGGGGCTCTCGGTTTCTGTACTGCACAAAGGACTGACTGCTTCCATGGTTGTCAGAAATGATTGGTATTTAAACAAGACCTGCAATTTCCACAGTCACACTGCGCACGACGGTTTGCCACTATTTAACTGATACTTCGTGCCGCTACTATTACAAAAGATGTGACTAATATTGCGAACAAGCAAGAGCTGTAACAGCATTTCTTCTCATGGCCATGCGGAAATCCTGTCTCTTCGCTAGCATTACTATTCTTGTATGACAGTGCGACAGTGTGACAGCCGGTGCTCTTCATGCCATCAGTCATTGCTCTCTGACTCTTGCACGCCTGGGTTAATTCTCTAGGCAAGCTTAAGGCTGGTTTGTAGAATGCAGATCGCCATGGGGCGTCGGACCTGAGACCAAGGTTTCAAGGAATGGACTCTGAGACAGTCTTGTTCCAGAGCCGTCGGAACTAATTTCTGGCTCTGGAGCCCCATGCAAACAATCTGCCCACTCGGAACCTCGTATACTTGGAGCATCACCTGACTTTGTAGACAAGGTTTTCAGAGCTTTAAACTTCACTTTACGTAGTATCCAAGTACAGTAACCTGACTTGTAATCTCTGTCATGCTGACAACAAGGATGATTGCATGTGAAACCCTGCTCCGACCAAACAGTCTCCATGTCGCCGAGATGCGTGCGCACCGGGAAAAGTACGGGAGCCTTGTCTGCTGTGAAAATTTAACGTCGAGCTTCAATTGTAGTCTTTGCCGGATCTTCTGAACCACTGCGGGGTCTGCGGGCCTGGCACTGTAGAACACAAGTCCAGCGTCGGACGCATCTATGGATTGGAGGGGGCGCTGGAATACTATTGGGAACGATCCAAAAAACGGCGATAAGATCCGCATGACATTCCTACTTCAGCTGTTGAACTCTCTGACTTTGCTTTAAGATCATGGAACCTCACCTGAGGAGTCATGACTCCAGTGTTTAAGTACCTCTTTTCCAATTGGGGCCTGATTAGCCCTGTGAAACCTGCATTGCCTTTTGGCCTCAGGCTGGGGATTTACCATGCGTGGCCCCTGCCATACTTTGCCCTGGTCAGGCAAGAGGCAGAGACATTACGCTGGCGGCTTCACGGCGTGGAGAGGCTGCAAACTCGGTTAGCCGGTGGCCTGCAAGTTGTCGGCTATCCCTCTTCTCATCCGTGCCTGAAGCTGTTGTTCGTTGTGTTGGCCTACATAGAACATCAAAAGCCGAAAGCTGAAGCCGTCCTGAGAGTTAACAGCGTTAGTCCGCACTGGTGGGAGTGCTTGTCAGGTGCCATCCTGCCAGCCCACAGGTGTCGGTGTCATTGCATGTGTCTTCGTTTACCGCTCTGCCATAGGCTTGAAACGAAAAATCAAGCAGCGGCGCAATGATCAAATGATCACCTCTTCGACCCAGCGGAGCCAAAAATCCGAATTTGAGCACTAGTGACTCAGTCAGGCCAACCCAAAGTGATCAACCATAGATACCCTCCGAACAATCAAGCTTCAGAGGAAACAAATGGGCACGAGGCAGCAGCAATGTAAAAATATGGCATGATGCAGAAGTGCAACAATGGACCATGGAAGAACAGGCTGCACACAGGAGGCAACCATTGTCACAAGCCATCTGCATGTATCCTAGTAAACTGTACGGCTCAAACTTGGGCGCATAGCCAGCTAAAGCTCAAGCCAGCACGGTGCCGGAAATTCTGACACATGAATGTTAATGAACACTAACACGGATCAGCTTAGAATGGCACTGGTTGATTCCAACCAAGACTAGGACCACGGCAACATAATATGTAGTCTGAGCATTGAAAGAGCTCCCAAGGCAATGTGGTCAAAAAGCATAATGTAGAGTTGAGCACGCCCCATGTCGCCATCCATCGAATCATTGAGGCCCTGAATCAGCATTAGAAACAGTTCTGCCTTGGGGAAACTACCTGATGCTGAAGACTTTGTTGAACTTGTGACCACTGAAACAAGCAGGTACTTGTATTAGATCAACGGCTCCCGACCTGGACCCGAAACTCGTCTTCCCGGCTCTGTAGCCGCTCCTCCAGACGCCTTTCGGGGCGGTGCTCAACGGCACCCCAAACTGCATCCGCGTGCTGTTGCAAGCAGCGATTTCTGAAACGGTCCCGCCTGCTGATTCAACTCCAGGTATCATGACTGTGGATAAACACAAGTGCGTAGGGAAAATCGCGGGAAAGTGCCCTCCCTCCGAAACGATGAATCGAATCCGAGCCTTATGACTATCCTGGTCCAGACATCGTAAAGTCTTCGAACCGACTCGTTTGCGACCCCGAACTCAGCGGACCCGGCCTGGAGACCTGGTCTCTTTCGTCCTCACTACAGGGCCATCCGGGAGCTGCAATGGCCCGTTCCGCGTAGAGGGCGTGGTGCTTATCAAAGGTAGGGTTGATACTGAGGGTTCAATGGTGCAGGGATCACCTTGCCGACCATCGCAGTTGTAGGAGAGGTAACTGAACTGCAGACAATCCAGTGTCACCCGGGTGTGCACCATCATCGCCAGAAGAATGGCAAAGTGGTGGTGCAGTCTCTTTCCAACTACTGATGCCGGCCTTAGTCACAATCGGCTGCCCATCATCACTATTGGGCATGTTGGATTGTATTGGTATGCTCGGAATTTGGACGTTCTCTTGCGGGCTGTGACTATCTCTTCGGGCTGTGCATTCAGAATGCTTCTAAGTAGATGGTACGCCGAGTCGCAGGTCAGGAGGAGTGAAACGTTGTTGAATTGTAAATGTGTGTGTGTGTGTGTGTCATGCGTGCCCTGTCTCAACCTGCCAAATCGTCAGGAAGTTTCTTGGCAAGATATGCCTCAACTCGCATAGGACCTCAACTTGGCCGACCTGAACCATCAATCTGAACCCGCGCTCCTGGAGCTGGCTTACCTTCTCGGCCGCCTGCAGATTCATGTCCAGGCTGTCGAAAGAAATCAAAATAATCAATGCTGCTGAGTATCAACACACGATATTAGGGAAAGCTATCGACTCAGGATTCACCCTGAGCCACCACAACCCTCTGCCAAAGGCTTCGTACCCTTCTTGCGCCAGACAGAGAGGAACCGAAGGGTTTCGGCTTCGGAATTAGTCTCATCTGGTCATTACTATCACCACCATCATCAACACTATTTTTCTCCTGCTCCCCCTCACCAACACCAGCAGCAAGAGGAGCAGCAGCCGCAGCAGCAGCAGCAGCACCCTCACCGCCACTGCCACCATAATCATGATCATGATCATGATGATGATGATCATGATCATGATCATCATCACGATGCAGCGGGCGCATGATTGCGCGGGGGCGATCTCGGGAGAGTCTGCAAGGGCTCATTGGGCTTTGGCTTTCTGTGCCTCCTTCTCCTTGGCGACGAGACCTGGCTGTTACGGAAGTGGCTCTAGGCAGGGGGGAATGCTGAGGTTCTCTCGGTGCATGCCCCTCCTCCTAGACCATAAGGGTTTCAAGATTCATCTAGGGACCCAGGGAGTCTCTGAGCCGAAGATGCGACGCTTCCGAGTCGGAGCTAGTTTGGCTCTCGGTCTGGGAAACTTACACATAGACTCACCAGTAGCGCGAGAGCAGCAAAAGCAATGCCTTCCGCTACCTACTGAGACTCCGAGTACTTGCGCGACAGGATGTGCAATTCAACATGGTGGCAATGGAATGTCGGGACATACGCGTACAACCCTTACTTACACAAGCCTTCTCTCCTGAGAACCGTGAAAGGGGAACGCCCGGAGTGGGAGTCGTGCCTGCTTCTTGCTGCTGTAGCCTGGCAACAAACTCCACAGAGTCAAACGCAAGGGGGAAAGTGTGGTCTGCTTTTTGGCGACTCCCTACTATGTAAACATCTTCTTGTTTGGGGTTCATAGTGGCATGCCTTCGCTTCTGCGACTCGCACCTGACAATACCCGACCTCAACGTTACCTTGGGGTAATATCATGCCGTTGACCCCAAGCCTAAAAAAGGAGCCTTAATAATGAGAATAAGGTTTTGGGGCCCATTTTACTATAATCATGAAATTAGACCCACGCACGAGTTTTCTGGTGTCCGATGCCTCTCGGTCAAGTTGGAGACCTGTTCGTCGTGCAGCGCCTTCTCATGCAATGCCTCCTGGTCATGCTCTTGCCAATAACTGGGTTCTTGTCAAGGGACTTAATTTAAGCTACCATAATATGGATCTATAGTGAATAATACGGTTTCCTTATTATGGTCATACTCTTGCCAACAATGATCATAAGAACAGGAGCTCCCCAAAAGATGTTGTACCGTTCGCCGGCAGGTGCTCTACTCGATCTTGCCTTTCGGGGCTTGGAAGTAATGCTGGGGCTCCGGATGCAAGCTTCAGAGCCAGGCTGTTGGAACTGATAAGTTAGTGATCGCTTCCCGTGAAGACCCTACCCTTCATTCAATCCGCACACCCCCCCCCCCCCAACAACAAAAAAAAAAAATCCGCTCATATAATACAACTAGTCATATCTGCCAGGGACATCTGGGGCTCTCCTGCTTGAACTCGGTGAACTTCTCCTCCTGTCAGTTGTGCAGTAGTCCATCGCAGCAACAAACAAGGTGCAACAGCGAGAGCCACGACGAAGAGCAAGTACTGTTGCCCACATGATTTCTGCGGAATCGTGGGGTTTGGGAGAAGCAGGCATCTCGGACATGCAATGCTGAGCATCAACATCAGCCTCACTTCAGAGACATCTACATTTAACAACCTTCGTTCGAACCAACATGAAATACCAAGAAAGAACCTATTTTTGCCTCCTGCATGGCTGAATACACGAAGCAGGGATACAAGAAAGAACCTATTAGAGGGGGCTGATAGGAAGAATCAGAACAGCAAAGCGCCCCCTCAGAATCTCAGCTCTCCCTGGCGCCTGGGTACTCAGCTTCTGCTCGTAAGCGACCTGGCTCTGTGCTTCAATTTTGTTGTTATCCTACTATTACTGTTATTATGATTATGATTATTATTATTATTAATATTATTAATATTAGTATTATTATTATTGGTATTACTCTGATTACGAGTACTAGTGTTAACTGTCCATACCGCCTCGCCATCTTTGCGGAGCGGTGCGGCTATCTCATACTGCAAGAGAGCAGGCAAACTGAAACAGCCAAGAATGGCATGAATACACCTTGGCCTGCAAGCATGGTGCAAAGTTTTCAAGAAGCTACGGGCTACGAGAAGCGCGTAAAGTCATTAAAGCACGTGGCATGAAGAGTGATGGGTCAGCATGCCAGCGGGGGTTCTGGCAGAAGACTGTGCAGCTTGATGTGGCCTCTTCTGAACAAACTCAACTCACAGGTGAACCCCGGGGCTCTAGACGCCCAGAAGCAACCAATTAAACAGAACCAGCAGCACTAGCTACACTAGTTCCGCAATCTGCTACCAAGCCGGATGCCTCCAGGTCTGCGAGCTTGCCCTGCAACAGCGCCTTCTCCTCTGTGGTGGGGGGCATTTAGGAAGTTATTGACAACAGGCACGGATATGGAAAGCAACTACTGGATTCAGACTGAAAGGAGTGCAGCAGACTGCCTTTCGGGACCCCTCGAGCCCTTGCTGCACGAGTCCCGCACTCGAAGTTTCAGCTTTAGGATTCAGGGTCTCGGAGAAGGTGAGCACCCTGAAAAAAACTTCAACGACGAAAACGACAAGCCTGTTGGCTCTGCGACTCTACGAGCCGAACAACATCTTAAGATGAAGAGGAGCTGTTCTTGGAGGGTTAATGGCTGGCCGTGTCCGTTCGATGTCTTCAACATTGAACGATTGGGTGCGGCGCTTCGCTTTGTGCCGTGGGATTTCTGTTCCCGGCGGGGGCTCCTGGGTGGGCACCTCCGGCGAAGCTCCAAGGTATAAGTCCTGTTGCTACACCTACAAGTATGCACGGAATCACAAGGCATTTCCGGAAACTATAGCAAAAACTCAACCCATGGCCCTTTCCGTCCCATCGTCCCAGCCTGCTCTGCTGCTTCCGCCTGGCTGCGAAGCTCGCCGTGAAGGGAGGCGATCTGCGGAATGCGGCTTCTTAGATGTGTGCCGCAACGGCCATCTCTACCGTCACTGCTGCCAGGACGAGGGCAGGCGGAGGAGGAGGAGGAGGAGGAGGAGGAGGAGGAAGCGGAGCATCAAAGTAGCCATGCCGACACCATTGTGATTATCGATTCATCGCTGCTGGAGCTTTACGAAGCAACTTATTGGCCTCGACTTGTTGCGTTTGTGGCAGCCTACTACGAAGAAATGTCTTTGAGCGCCGTTTGATCTGTGTTGGCCAAGCAGACAGCCAGACAGAACACAGAAAGAAAGGAGTGAGAGAGACGAGAGAGAGAGAGAGAGAGAGAGAGAGAGAGAGAGAGAGAAGGGGAGCGAGAGAGAGAAGAGAGAAAGAGAGAGAGGGAGGGCGTTGCGCGCGCAAGAAGGCAGGAGATGGGGGGGGGAACAGAAACAGATCCATACATGTGTATGAAACTTGCACATGCTCCCTGCTTCGTTGTGTACCATCTGTCTATCAAACTTGAGTGGATCCCAGCCGATGGCACCTGCTCCTGATTCGCCGCCACTTGTCTCTCCTTAGGCGGACCCAAACCGCTGGAGTTTCGCTTGTTCCAGAAGGCCTGGAGAATTTTCCCTCCTACTTAGCAAGGACGAGGCCTACATTTGCAGGGTAGTATAGGGTTTAGGGTTAGGGAGTGGGATGTCGCTGATCTGAGGAACCCACACATGTAACATCCTGAAGCATATACACTTCCAACCTGGACCAACCATTCAGTTGGCCTGAACCTTACAGGCTGCAAACCCTTCACATGAACCCTATCGCCCCAATCCTAAACCTTTATAACCCACCGCTCCGCAGCTCTATGCGATGGCGGGTTCTTTGGGTCTGTCGGCGCTGTGATGTAGAACACGCGACGTTGGTTTAGGGTTGTAGGGTTGAGGCGAATTGAAAAAGGAAGAGTTTGCAGGACAGTCGGTGGAAGCTGAATGAAAGACCTCTCGAGAATGTGCTGATATACAGGAGAGAGCGCTTTCAGGAGGTCAAGATGCAGGAATTGCTCTCCAGCGCGAGGCTTAGTTCACCTGTTGACCCTCAAACCGATTTACAGGCACAGCTTCCTCAAGGTCCGTTCATCCTATACGCCAACACTATGATGTTCCTAATAGCTTCTTCGAAGTTACAAAGATTTTCCGCTGTCGTGCAACCTGAATCCCAACTCCTTCCTTGCCCACCCTCAACCTGGGCCCGTCGATGAAACTACTGTGCGTCCTGCTTCTTTCTCTTAGACCTTTAACCCTGGCAGCTTGCGCTTCGGACCTGCTGCCAACTGTTGCGGCCCAAGTAAGAGTTTCATTAGAGTAGGGTTTTGGGGCCCATTATACTTACTATACTTATAACAAGAAAACCCCAAAATGGTATTGGTAATTATTTAGGCCCTATATGACGCAGCCTCGGAAGTGAGACTCTGTCCTTTGTGTTTTCGAGTTGATGGGCAATCCTACCAGAGGCTGGGACTTCTGAAATTCAGGAAGCTCCTTGCATGTGTGCCACAGGAGTAGTATCGGCATCCATAGGAGCAGATGCTGAACTGATAAAGTCATCATCAACAGCACTACGAACAGCGTCCAGCTGATGTGCCTCATCCACAAATCAAATGCAAGAGTTGAACTTCAATGGACCGCCTTTTTGCCAGAGACTTCCGGGAGCAAAGATCACCCCAAGCCAGTCCGAACTGTGCTGCTATGCAGGTACGCTCACATCCCTCTCAGCTCGAGGGCTCGAATGGAAGACGGTTCGGGGTTCCTACCCTTTGATGACTCCAGGGCATGATTCTGGATTGAGGTCCGGGTTGCGTAGAGAGTGGGGGAATGCGGTAGAAAGACTCTGGAAGCTTAGGGATGCACTTCCTGGAAGCAGATGATTCAGATGATCATGATAGTGCTCTCGGTTGCGAACTGGAGTCATGTCTCTCGCGGTTGAAAACGTCAGTATCACGACCAGCACACCAGAGCATGAGCATCACCAAAGATACAGCAACAATACGTCTAGCAATACCCAGGCTACGGCCATGCCTTCTTATTCCTGATCCTCATGCCTGCTGCTCCACACGTTTGTTGGCTAGTGATTGTTCATTTGTTACTGCTAATTTTCTAGTTGCAGCTTGTAGTATCCATTGTCGTTGGAGGCTTCGCAGCACATTTGCTATATCGATACTGTTTGATTCCGACCGTTTTTGTCATAGATACTTCGCGTGAATACAGTTGCTTGTTCCTTTATGTGTAGTGCGTCATGTCTTCTGAACCTTGTACAGAGAAGAAACCTGTAACTAGAAACCTGTGCTACTGGATGATACTGGCTGCCTACAGACCCCCCGCTTCGGAGCCGTCTTCCGGCTAAGAACATCTGGTAAACGTAGGCATGGGGACCTTAGGGGGATCTTTAACCCCGAAAGCTCCCTGACCAAGCCCTGAACCTCGGAACCCATGAAGCCTGAACCTGGAAAGATAAACCCCACAAAACCCTTCCCTGTCCGCCCCCCTAAGGTCCCCAGTAAGTGCCCGTCGAAGTCTTCAGTGATCTGTGTGATTCGACCTCAGCGTCCCGCATTTACCCGGAAGGCAGCACTTGATCCAAGAATTCGTTCAGCCTGCATGGGTCATGTAACCGTAATCGCAAGAACACAGTCTGAAGGAAGCAGCATACAGTATCTCCCTTCAAACCGGAGTTACCTTCTTCCAGCCTTCTTCAAGGGCCTAAGATCCGGCCTCAAAATTCAAATCACCTGAGGCGCCCAGTGCTTCGAACCCTTGTGGCTTCGAAACCTGACGTCTGAGCTCCAACTTAAGGCCTGCTCTTGGATAAGATGCCAAGGCTGCAGCTGGTTGTGTGCAGGGTCTCCTGACGGGCTGAGTGCTTTGGCTGCCGTCAGCACGAGCAACGGCCAACCGTGCAAGGGAACGGTTCAATCAGAATGAAAGAAACATCATAAGATGTTGAAACTCACTCCCGGCCACACGGACATGCAACCATTCCGTCCAGCACTAAACACAAAACTACCAGACATCACCATAGGGGGCTTTATTGCCAGGGTGCAAACGAGTCTCGAGAATGCTAGGATTCGAGCTCACCTTGATTCAAGGTAGAATGTGCTGAACCCTCAGGCCCTAAGGACCTCCACAATCCCCTATGCAAAAAACCGTGGCAACCCCCAAAACGCGTGAACTCTTCCCCGCCTCTTCCAACTTCCGGTCGCATTCCGCTTGAACGTCCTCGTCGGTGGCAAGTCAGACACAAAACATCGGCTTTCGGCATGTAGACCCCCTGTCCTGTGATCTGGGCTTGTCAAACCAGGGAAGCCCCAACCGGCAATAGATGCGAACCGGGTCGTGGGTCCGAGGGGCCCTTTTCGAAGCCATGCTTCTAGCTCGAAACTCCCGGATCCTTACAAGTAGTATAGGGGCCTGAATAAGATACTATACTTATAATCATAAAAAGAAACCCACCCAAAAAGTATATTGGTTATCATTTAGGCCCCTATAGGAGGAGCCCCTGTTCCCTAAGCTCTCACCCCGCCTCCAGCAGAGATGACAGCTGGGCCTTATCGGCCTCAAGTCCTTGGGGCTGCCATGTATTTTGGGCCCTGGGGCCCTGGGGGGCTTGGGGCATAATAGTTCCGTTTTGGGGGTTCATATTTAGAATTCTATAAGGAAAATCCCAAAAAGGAACTACTATGGGTTTCATGGGTATTGTTTGGGCTCCCGCAGGCAAACTCCGCAAGTCGGACCAGCCAGGCGGGGTCTATTTCAAGTTGCTCCACCACACCATTAGACAAGTAATAATCCAGCCAGTAGCCAAGTTGACCAGAAAAGCCGCCAAGGAGGAGCACCACTGCGTGATCAGTCATTGCTGCCATGGATTGCTTGCAACAGAGGGTTTCGAGTTCCGGGTTTGGGCATCAGTGCGAGATTTGGGGGCCCTCAGGGTTTCGCAGGAAGTCGATGGTGGTATGAGGCTCGAGCTGTCTCATGGATTACACGGCTCAAGCACCACTCCAAAGCATTCGAGAGTTCCGACCGCCAAAACACCCAGTTCGCTATGAGTTCGCTTGAAGCCGGGGAGCTCTCTACGTCGGCAGCTGACGAGGCCGTTTTCTGGTCCAGCAGCTCCTAGCACGGCTCTGGATTTCCGCTGGTACACTCGCGCTGGGCAGGCACGGATGCACGGCTATACAGTAGGTTCGCAACTACTACCGTGACATGCAAGAGTGCCAACATGCGCAATATGGAAACCTAAAACTAACAAACCAGTCAAAATATGACTGAGCAACTAGCACCATAAGCTACCCAAAGCACCAGTCAACTGATGCATGCAGCTAAGGACCATCCTCGCAACAGCAACAGCGCCCAGCCCCATAAATGAAACTAAAGAAAGCGTGTATCAGTATATCGTGAACGTACGTTCCTAGTCGGCCAGGACGGTCCACAGAGGTTTCAAAACAACCATTGCTCTCCACTCTGCGAGGCACACGACGTCTGTTGCACCAAGTTGGTGATGTTTTAAGATGGAGTGCAGCAGCAGAAGAGAATCCAAAACGAACAGCACCGTTAATCCTAGTGAGTTGAGCGACAAATCTTCGGGGTCCTTTCTGGTGCTTCAGCAAGAGCTTCGTGATGATCGTGTAATCAGCACCACCACCACTATCATTGCAACCAACATCATTTCAGCCATGATCATTACACCCGGCAACACCTGCCGTAATCTTCGTATCACAAGTTGCTGCAGCGGCATCACCGTCTCCATCACAACCATCGTACACAACCAGTTCACTACCCACAAATACAAACGCTGGCTGTTGCTGCAATTAGTCCTGCAAAGGGTGACAGGACAGAATCAAGGTCAGGGTAGCGCAAGACTCGGGGCCTGGAGATTCGCCTTCTCCCTTTGAAGTGCGGCTCGAGCTTCCTCTGCTCGGTCGCGCGCCTCCTGGGAAAGGGCTGAGGGCTTTAGGCTAGGGTTCTAGCAGTTCCAGCTCATGGCTGCAGAACTTTTTAGCACTATGTTGCAGTGAGTCGCGCACGTCGTCGTGGCAGAGCAGCGATTCATCAACGCATGATTGGTAACCTCATCGACGAGGTATCGTGGCGTAAACAACATGATTGGTAGGCCACAATAACCGTAGTGAACAAGAGGTGTAGGAATAGGACGGGACAAAAAGCATCAGCCAAACAGTCCGGAAGATGGCTGCTGTTCAGTAGCCTTTGTGACAGCAACGAGGTATCGAGTCTTGAATGACACTTCCGAACCCGGTTGTTGCCCGATTATCCTGATCAAAAATCGGGCAGAACATACCAGAACTCCCCAAACTCTGAGCCTCCCCCCCCCCCAATTTTAGTGCGGTGTGCTGAGGACTTCAGTGTCCCGTCGCGGCCTGGAGCATCGACTTCTCATTTTGGAGTATGGCTCGGTCGGCTTCTGCTTGCTCACGCGCCGCCTGAAACCAGTGACAAAGGAGGTCAGGTGCACCATGGCCCGTACAAAATACATGAGGAAGCACCATTTTCCTGCAAGAGAAATCAACGCCACAATGCTTCTTGCCTGAAGCTGCCTTTCCTGATCGCCGAGCTGGGCTTGCGCAGACTCCTGGCTCTGGCTGGCCTCTGCTGGAGCTGGGCTTTCGAGCTCATGGGGCTTTTGGGTGTCGAGCTGCGGGCTTCAAAGGATTTTTTTCTGGATCCCTAAACTCTACTGTACACGCTCGGAAACATTGAACCGTTTGACTTCAGAGCTCACAGTCTGATAGCCAGCCTGAGGGGGTGAGCCCGACGAGGTCATGCTGCAAGGGGCTCCGCCACACGAGAAAAAACTGTGGGCTTCGGGAAGCTGAGACCCAAGACCACAACTTTCAGAAGTAGGTCATGAAAGCAGGTTCCAGGAACCCACAACCACCGAAGGTCCAAACACAAGCACCAACCCTTGGCTATTCGAGATTGAGGTCTGGAACTCCAACCTCGAGTCCTAGTTTCGGCTCGTTCTGTTTTCCTCAGTAAACACTCGGAGGACGCTTGGGAAGTTGAACCACTAGCTCCAGGGCCCTTGTGAGAATTCACATGAAGAGACGAACTAGCGACACTCAACTCGTATGTAAACATTAAAACCCTAAAGTTGCCCTGCCTTGTACAGTCCTCCGCCTGCAGACCTTAAACCTTCCAAAACTCAAGTGCTGTAAACTTGTTTTGTAACCTTGGCATGAACGTACAACTTCGATGGACCTCCGTCCGCAGGAAGGAGATTTGCGCATCCTTTGCAGCCAGCTCTTCCTTGGACCTCTCACGTCCTGCACTGGGCGCTGGGCGCTCGAGCTTGCAACCCTGATAAGGATAAGGGTCGGAATAATTCGTCATCATGCCCCCATCAGATTCCCCAATGGCTCACAATATCCCAACCCCCGCTTTCTATCTGTTTCTGATCATTCAAGCACCTACAGACAACCACACTTAACTCAAATCCCGCTCCCTTGCCGGTCGGGCTCTGTACATATATGTTTTATGTATGTGTGCGCGCACTATGTTATATCGAGAGAGAGAGAGAGAGAGAGAGAGAGAGAGAGAGAGAGAGAGAGAGAGAGAGAGAGAGAGAGAGAGAGAGAGAGAGAGAGAGAGAGAGAGAGAGAGAGAGAGAGAGAGAGAGAGAGAGGAGAGAGAGAGAGAGAGAGAGAGAGAGAGAGAGAGAGAGAGAGAGAGAGAGAGAGAGGAGAGAGAGGAGAGAGAGGAGAGAGAGGAGAGAGAGGAGAGAGAGGAGAGAGAGGAGAGAAAGGAGAGAGAGAGGGGAGAGAGGGGAGAGAGCGGAGAGAGAGGAGAGAGAGGAGAGAGAGGAGAGAGAGGAGGGAGAGGAGAGAGAGGAGAGAGAGGAGAGAGAGGAGAGAGAGGAGAGAGAGGAGAGAGAGGAGAGAGAGGAGAGAGAGGGAGAGAGAGGGGGTACAAAATGTATATTAAGTATGATATAGATATACCGTTATACCTTTCACATGTTTCTCAAGCCATGCGGGCCTTGCTCCAAGTCGAGGCGCAGCTTCTGGCTCTCCTCGACCAACTCAGAGTGGACGGCCTTGGGAGGATTTCGGCACCCACACCCGGACAATCCAGGTGAGGCATGTGTCGTGAGCTCTATGGATGACAGAGAAGGAGTGCACAACCTTACAGAAACGGCTTAGGGCTAAGATTTTGGGTTCAAAACGACTCCTGAGTGTTCTTTCCCTATTTAGATACATATCTTTGTCATGTAGCAGACAAGTATACCAGTAAAACGTGTGCACTTATGTATTTTTAGTCATCTATTGTGTACCTGCTTCACTTTTTCATTCCGGCACGTATATACATGAACATAGGCATATGCCCATGTGTATATTGCACGTACATGTGCATGTGTATGCGTGCCTGAGATATGCATGCATGTAGGTCTCTGTACGTAAGGATATTATATATCTACACGTACAACACGTACCTGGCACAGAGCCAGCCATTCACATGCTCGCAACTCGAAAATCTGCCACGCATCTGTGTGCAGCGATCAACACGCTAGCAGCTAGTTCAGCTAGTTGGTGCGAGCCTTCGGATCCCTCATGCGAAACCACGCCCTTGACCTGCCTGAAAATCACCGGCTAGACCCTTTTCAGTTCTGGATGCCTTCATATTCACTTTGGGTGCGGGGTTCTCCAGGCCAGGGTCCTTTGTGGCGCACCTTCGGTGGGAGTTCTGATGCCGAACGAACCCCTGTCCTCAGGTCGGGGGGCCTCGAGTTTGGTGTGCTTCTGCTGCAAGTCCTGTCCCCGGTCTCTGCATGTTTGAGTCAGGAGTCGCGAGCTTCCGGCTCAAGGGCGTGGCGCTTCGGGCTTGCAAGCCAACCATCAATCGTGATCTCTGCTTTCCTGGCACACATCCAGACCTCAAAGGATTGTTCTCTGGGATGCGGCATCCTTGTCTGAAGCCCTAGACCTCCACGCGTTGCTACCTCATGGCTTGCTCCATGGGGTGACTTGTTACCGGGAGCTGGGCCCTTCGGTTATTTGCTGCATGTGCTCGAAAAGAAATGGCAGGAAAGATTCCATTGGCACAAGATAGTAATGTACTCAGTTACTTTGCCTGCTTTAAAGGCCCGACTCTCCAAATAACGTTATGACTGTGCTGCTTCAAGCCGTTCTTGCCCCTCCCTGCACACGTTTCACTTGGCAGTCCTACCATGGCCGACTCAAACAAACAAGCAAACAAGCAGTAGCAATGGGCACGATTGCAAGCAGTCAGTCGCCACAGCATTTGTGTACTCGCTGCGCTCATGTATGCTCATGTACTTGCGTACGGATGTAACTGAGTATATGTATGTAGGTTCGCAGGTATGCAGGATGCCTGCTTATATGTGCATATGTATGTACCTTGGGTAGGCATGTGTGCATGCATGTTGCATACATGTGTGTGTATCAGCGTGTGCGCGCTTGCATGTACGCATGTGTAGGTCTGCATTCGTGTTCGTAAGCGCGGCGGTTTGCGTGGACAGCCGTGCACCTTTGAAGGAAGATATGTCTGATATGTCTTGTTGCTTGCTTTAGCATCTATCCGGCCCACAGATTAAACGCAGAATGCTTCCATGTAGTTGTCACATGGCGTCACTGTCAGATGTGAGAACGCGGCCATTGCAGGGGTTAAATACAGCCTCCATTCTGATTTTTTACTTCTCTGTGAAGTGGGGCTCAATCCTTCATTCCTTTACAATGCAGCTATAGGAGTGCGGGAGAATTTCATTCTCCTTGTGGGTAAGATTGCGATTAGATAATTTTTCTTCAGAGCGTATGTGGACGTATCTATATCTATACATATATATATACACATACATATGTACCGCAGGCGTTCGTCCAGAAGGTGAGCAGCAGGGGGGGTTCGCAGGTCGCGCCTCGAGGCCCGCGGCTTGCGCACGTGACTCGGCCGTCCGATCGGCGAGCTGGATGGATGTATCTGCCAGCTCCTGCGCTTATTACGCTTTTGCACTGAGAGTCTTCGAGGCACCTTAATGGTCGAGTCGGTCGGACAATCAGGGCACGGTCTGTCGGCCTGCGGCCAGACCCGACCGCACCAGCCCGGCACTGTCAACGGGGCCGCGCCCTGTTTCAGTGCCCCACGCCCGCAACCGTAAGCCCGAAACTCTTAGACTGCTTGGCGACCAGTGTCATGCTGATCATGCTGTGTTCAGTTCAATGCGGCTAGCTGCTAGCGTTTAACATACATTTCAACTTCGAGCTTGCCCCATAGCAGGGTATGCAACAGTACGGGGCACAAATAGCAATGGATGAACACTGCTCCCATCTTCGACATCAGGCTTAGGTAGAACCAGCGCCCGGCCCTAACCGACCATCACCCACCGCGTCCTGTGTACGCTCATGCAGCTGGCCCGAAACTTGTGAAATCTCGGAAGCCTCTTGACAAAATGGATTCGGGTTCGGGTTGGGGTTTTTGCCAACAGGGCCAAGGTTGACCGACTCAAACCGCTCTGTTGGGACTTGGAAGCTTGTGCTTTCAGCAGATTCAACGCTTGAAAGTTGCTCCGATATGCTCCGTTAGCCTCTGTCATGTACTACAATGATCTGTTCTGCCCTGTGCATGTATATACTGTAACGCAGTGCAACGTAATGTCGTGCAGTGTACGGCAATGCAATGACAGGCAAGGCCAGGCATGTATGCATGTCTATACTTGCATGAAAAAATGTACATATCAGCATATGTGCAATATGTATATGTATATATATATATGCAAACAGCATTCATTTCTAACATACTTTAGCATAGGCACATTCATAGGTACGTGTGTTGTGAAGCCTGACACGAACCTCCGAACATTCTGTTTGTCTTTCGCTCGATCGCCCGTGGGGCAGTGACAACTGCTTTCTATCTGACTCCATGCCTTCGCTGCACTTACTTCCATTCCACGCCTGGGCTTCCACCTGCCGCCCGAGCTCTTCGCCACGTGCCTCTAAGCGTCTCACCTGAGCTCGTGGAGTTGGGGGTGTTGGGCACGGCTGACAAGCAGAAACGGATGGCAAAAGGCTCTGCGACCTGCCCATTGAAACCTTTGCGTGAAGCTGTCGCATGGCCTCGTCTCGGAGCGTCGACAGCTCCGCATCCTTGGTCGACAGCTCCTTTGCAGATCCTTCGCGGCCTTCACAATGGCGATACGCCGATACGCACTTTTCAGGCATGGTGGTCCCGGCATGTACACTTTACACTCGCAGTGCAAGCCGTGATGAAGAGCTGGATTGACAGCGTTTGTGTGCATGGATGTACGCATCCCTCGTCTCTAACTCCTCTAAACTTTAGGCCGTAAATTGCCCCCAAAACCATGAAATCATCAAGTAGTGTGAACATAACCTATCGACAGCAACATCGCTATGTAGAATGACATTCTGCAAGAGGTGTGTATGTAGGTGCAAGAAAATCGAACATATACATATCAGCACAGAAGTATTCAGGACAATTAAATCTACTAATATCTTAGATGTTTAAAACCATCACGTAATTACATGGGATAGCACGTGCAATGACACCAACACCGATTGTGAAGAAGGCCTTGCTGCAGCTCCGTCCGCTGTCGCTGGCTCTCCTCCGCCAGTCTGGCACGGTCGGCCTTGCCACGAACTTCGGTTTACAGCAAGTAACATCAGCAGCAGCAGTGAGCAGGGGTAGCAGAGGAGCTAGGAGTTGTAGCCGGTGGAAGAGGAGGAGCAGTCGCGGTAGCGACCATAGTGAAACTGTCGCCGTCGTACGTGAGGGTGGCATATAGGTGGCATCGTGGCAGCAGTCGCAGTCGTGGTGCTGGAGGCGGTGAAGGCGGCGTTGCCGGCGCTGGTAGTGGGGACGGCTGTTGTAGTGCCACTGGTAGTATGTGGCAGTCAACCATTGATTTAGACCGTGTCCATGCAAAGCTTCGGCTTCTACATCCCATTGCTGAGCAATCTGCCAGGTGTGAGGGCCATGGGGCATGAACAACGCAAGAGTGCTTCTCAAACCGCAGCTAACCTTGCAGAAGATGGGATTCCTGGAACTCGGAAATCATCATAGGCTGCTCCAGCGACTCGAATTGGCTGGGTGCCAACGTTAACAGCTGATAGCTAGAGTTGCGAAGAGATTATCATGAAATTTCTGAAGGCCGCTGTGAAAGGAGATGGTGAAACATCAAGCACGGAAGAAGGCCCCAAAAGACCACATACACGAGGCTCCTACATGTTCTTCAAGCCGTGCGGTGCAAAAATGGCATGTGACTCACAGCTGTGACTGACCACTGATGGTCCCTCTACAAGGAACCCCAAAAACCTCGAGCCCTGAGATCCTTGCATTCATGTAATACATTGGCCCTAGTTTCAGTAAGTTGAAACCTTTCAAGCTTTCGGCCTCGAGCTCAGAGTTGCGTTGCCGAAGCTCCTGGCATCGAAGAATCGAAAGGCTTCGGATTCATCACGGCATTGTTTAGTGCGTAGGAACAGCATGAAGATTCGCAGCCGAAATGACACGGCTCGTACATTGAACTGGGTTGTCGAAGAAATCGGCCATCGTTACAGTAGATCTTGTTCTCGTGAGGCTTGTCACTTCATGGGAGAAGAACCGGACCCCAATTAGACTCACCTGAATAGGTGTAACTGGCCTCAACTCTCCTGTTGGAGCTAGTTCTGGCTCATGACCAGATCAAACAATCAGAAACTCCTTCTACACCAAATGGTAGAAAGGGCTTCCGTGTCGATGTTTGCTCAGCACTTAGCAACCATCGAACTGACCAACCAAAAGCCTTGCTGGCTGCAACAGGCTGCTTGCCTGAATGATTAAGTGATTGACTAGCCGACTACTTGACGGATCACTCGCTGACTAACTCAGCGGCTAAAAGACCAACCGAACCAACCAACCGACCAAGTAACCCAAAGAGTAACTGACGCGCGCACTCACTGACAACTACCCCTGCCACCATCACTGCTGCTATGACTGTGGTCCTGCCGAATGATACTTCGTGGTCTTGCCTGAGTCTTGCCTTTTTGAACCCATCAAACCATGTGGCGGAAAAAAGCGCTAAGACCCCTGAACCTCAAGCCCTGGAAGCTTTGAGTGCTGTCGTCCTCCATTTGCGCAGCATGGGCAGAGACCTCGACGGCTCGATCGGAAAGCTCCTGCATGGGGCATGTTCACCTTCAGGTATACCCCTCATCAACAAGGTTCTTTAAAGGCCTTAGGCCTTAGGTATAAGAATCCCTCATGACCCGTACTGACGAAAGCGGCTTATTGGCAAGTCTAAAATAAGTCTGCATTCTTTAAGAGCGTGGTTGGTCTTGGGTACAAGTGGGGCTACAGATGCAGAGGGGGTTGCTTTGGGGCTTGGTGGGTCAGGGTTCCTATAGCTCCCGTTGCCGAAATAGTACGACAGGCGTTCGTAATCCCAGCCAGCACACATGGCCACGATGGACATCATGCGGGTCTGAAGATGTGAGCACCATACCATGCACACATTTCCGCATGGCATGCGCACATACCATTAATATAAATGACATTATATATATGTATGTATATCTATATATATTTTTTAGAGAGAGAGAGAGAGAGAGAGAGAGAGAGGGCACAGCGTCATGAACTCGACAAGCAAAAACATGCGCAGAAGCATGAAGATGCACATATTATTTGTCCAGGCAGAGAATCTCCAAACAGATCCCGGATTCTAAAAACAATAAATGGAACATAGTACGTAGATGTGGTGTGGGTATGCACGCAAGTATGCCCACTCCTGCCGACGCATCTCCGTGGCTTCACTGAACTCGGCAGTTGTCCGCTCCAACTCAGGGGCGTGGCTTCAGGTGAAGTGCGGGGGGGGGGGGGGGGGGACTAATCATTCGATGATTGACGGCTGAGGCTGCTGGATTTTGCAAGATCAAAACGGTGATTGAACTAGTAGTACTAGTAGTAGTAGTAGTAGTAGTAGTAGTAGTAGTAGTAGTAGTAGCAGTAGT